CTGGGATGGGGGGAGAAAAAGCCACACCTGTGCTGTGGGCCCCATTCCAGTGGGGAGTCAGGCTGCAGCTGTGGGGTGGGGAAATCCAAGCCACCTAACGGGAAGCGGGTCGAAGGGTCCCCTGGCCCTCATGGGCTGGTGTCTCTGTCTCTGCAAGGTGACTGTGACAACGCCATTTGGGGAGAACGCCTGTGCCAACGCCTCCGCCCCGGCCCCGGCCCCGGCCTTGCTACTCAACGAGCTGAGCCTGGCCAATGGCACTGCCCTCTTCGTTGAGCTGAAGGGGAAACCCGGAGCCCCCCTGAGAGGCTACACCCTGGTGTTCTACTCTGGGCAGGATGGCAACGCCTACGCCCGCATCCCGCTGCAGGGCACGATTGGGGCCACGGGGCTCTTTGTGCTGGCACCAGCGGAAGCGCCTGGCCCTGGTAAGGCTGACAACTGCACGCAGGTGCTGAGCCTCGAATCGGGCTCTCTTGGCGGGTGAAGTCCAGAAGGCCGGTTCTGGGGGGACAGCTGGGTGGAGACAAGGGGCTGAAAGGAGGGAAACGGGCTACAAAGCCTTTGGTCTGCGGGCAGGTGCTTTCAGTGAGCTGTTTGGTAGCCGATGCGAAACAAATTGAGGGGTTCAGTTAAGTGCCTTATGGACAGGAGCTACTCTCCCTACCGAGCCGTCTGCCTCAGGGATCCATGAGCCCCGAGACAGAATTCCTCTCTTCCCCCGTATGGCACCGAGCCGTCGGCCTCAGGGATCCATGAGCCCCGAGACAGAATTCCTCTCTTCCCCCGTATGGCACCGAGCCGTCGGCCTCAGGGATCCATGAGCCCCGAGACAGAATTCCTCTCTTCCCCCGTATGGCACCGAGCCGTCGGCCTCAGGGATCCATGAGCCCCGAGACAGAATTCCTCTCTTCCCCCGTATGGCACCGAGCCGTCGGCCTCAGGGATCCATGAGCCCCGAGACAGAATTCCTCTCTTCCCCCGTATGGCACCGAGCCGTCGGCCTCAGGGATCCATGAGCCCCGAGACAGAATTCCTCTCTTCCCCCGTATGGCACCGAGCCGTCGGCCTCAGGGATCCATGAGCCCCGAGACAGAATTCCTCTCTTCCCCCGTATGGCACCGAGCCGTCGGCCTCAGGGATCCATGAGCCCCGAGACAGAATTCCTCTCTTCCCCCGTATGGCACCGAGCCGTCGGCCTCAGGGATCCATGAGCCCCGAGACAGAATTCCTCTCTTCCCCCGTATGGCACCGAGCCGTCGGCCTCAGGGATCCATGAGCCCCGAGACAGAATTCCTCTCTTCCCCCGTATGGCACCGAGCCGTCGGCCTCAGGGATCCATGAGCCCCGAGACAGAATTCCTCTCTTCCCCCGTATGGCACCGAGCCGTCGGCCTCAGGGATCCATGAGCCCCGAGACAGAATTCCTCTCTTCCCCCGTATGGCACCGAGCCGTCGGCCTCAGGGATCCATGAGCCCCGAGACAGAATTCCTCTCTTCCCCCGTATGGCACCGAGCCGTCGGCCTCAGGGATCCATGAGCCCCGAGACAGAATTCCTCTCTTCCCCCGTATGGCACCGAGCCGTCGGCCTCAGGGATCCATGAGCCCCGAGACAGAATTCCTCTCTTCCCCCGTATGGCACCGAGCCGTCGGCCTCAGGGATCCATGAGCCCCGAGACAGAATTCCTCTCTTCCCCCGTATGGCACCGAGCCGTCGGCCTCAGGGATCCATGAGCCCCGAGACAGAATTCCTCTCTTCCCCCGTATGGCACCGAGCCGTCGGCCTCAGGGATCCATGAGCCCCGAGACAGAATTCCTCTCTTCCCCCGTATGGCACCGAGCCGTCGGCCTCAGGGATCCATGAGCCCCGAGACAGAATTCCTCTCTTCCCCCGTATGGCACCGAGCCGTCGGCCTCAGGGATCCATGAGCCCCGAGACAGAATTCCTCTCTTCCCCCGTATGGCACCGAGCCGTCGGCCTCAGGGATCCATGAGCCCCGAGACAGAATTCCTCTCTTCCCCCGTATGGCACCGAGCCGTCGGCCTCAGGGATCCATGAGCCCCGAGACAGAATTCCTCTCTTCCCCCGTATGGCACCGAGCCGTCGGCCTCAGGGATCCATGAGCCCCGAGACAGAATTCCTCTCTTCCCCCGTATGGCACCGAGCCGTCGGCCTCAGGGATCCATGAGCCCCGAGACAGAATTCCCCTCTTCCCCCATATGGCACCGAGCCGTCTACTTCAGGGATCCATGGGCCCCGGGGACAGAATTCCTCTTTTGCTCCGCCCGGCACCAAGCCGTCTGCCTCAGGGATCCATGGGCCCCGGGGACAGAATTCCTCTTTTGCTCCGCCTGGCACCGAGCCGTCTGCTTCAGGGATCCATGGGCTCTGAGACAGAATTCCCCTCTTGCCCCTCCCGGGCTGTTAGGAGGAAGTTCATCCTGATTCTACACTTGTTCTGTGGAGAAACAGAAGGCCCTTAACTCTCTCGTTGGCACTACACTCGCTTAGACTTGTATAAGGAGCTCTATGAGCCAGCCCCCTGCAGTGCCGCTGCCCCCGACCTGGCATGGGGAAGAGGCAGCGGTTGCTTTTTCCATGTCATATGCATTAAGAACATAAGAGCAGCCAGACTGGGTCAGACCAAAGGTCCATCTAGCCCAGTATCCTGTCTGCCCACAGTGGCCAGCACCAGGTGCCCCAGAGGGAGTGAACAGAACATGGAATCATCATGTGATCCCTCCCCTGTTACCCATCTCCAGACAAACAGAGGCTAGGGACACCATTCCTACCCATCCTAGCTAATAGCCATTGATGGACCTAACCTCCATGAATCTATCTCGCTCCTTTTTGAATCCTGTTAAAGTTCTAGAATTCACTGCATCCTCTGGCAAGGAGTTCCACAGGTTGACTATGCGCTGAGTGAAAAAAAACTTTCCTTTGTTTGTTTTAAACCTGCTGCCTATTCATTTCATTGGGTGACCCCTAGTTCTTATATTGTGGGGATAAGTAATTCCTTAATCACTTTTTCTATTCCAGTTATGATTGTATAGACCTCTATCATACCCCCCCTTAGGCTCTTCTTTTCTAAGCTGAAAAGTCCCAGTCTTTTTAATCTCACATCATATGGGACCCGTTCCAAACCCCTAATCATTTTTGCTGCCCTTTTCTGAACCTTTTTCAATGCCAATTTAACTTTTTTGCGATGAGGCGACAACATCTGTGCGCAGTATTCAAGTTGTGGGTGTACCAAGGCCATAAGATATTCTCTGTCTTCTTCTCTATCCCTTTTTAATGACTCCTAACATTCTATGTGCTTTTTTGACTGCTGTTGCCGCTGAGTGGATGTTTTCAGAGAACTATCCCCAATGACTCCAAGATCTCTCTCTTGAGTAGTTGTAGCCAAATTAGTCCCTGTCATATTGTATGTGTAGTTGGGATTATTTTTCCCAATGTGCATTACTTTACATTATCCACATTAAATTTCATTTGCCATTTTGTTGCCCAGTCACTTAATTTGGGGAGATCTTTTTGAAGCTCTTCAGTCTGCTTTGGTCTTAACTACCTTGAGCAGTTTAGTATCATCTGCACGTTTTGCCACCTCACTGTTTACCCCTTTCTCTAGATCATTTCTAAATAAATTGAATAGGATGGGTCCCTGGACAGACCTTTGGGGGACCCCATTAATTACCTCCCTTCACTCGGAAACTTACCATTTATTTCTACCCTTTGTTTCCTGTCTTTTAACCAGTTATCTATCCATGAAAGGACCTTCCCTCTTGTCCCATGACAGCTTACTTTACTTAAGAGCCTTTAGTGAGGGATCTTGTCAAAGGCTTTCTGGAAATCTAAGTATACTATATCCACTGGATCTCCCTTGTCCACATGTTTGTTGACCCCTTCAAAGAACTCTAGCAGATTAGTAAGATAGGATTTCCCTTTACAGAAACCATGTTGACTTTCCCCCGACAAATTATGTTCTTCTATGTGTCTGACAATTTTATTCTTTACTAGAGTTTCAACTAATTTGCCCAATACTGACATTAGACTTACCTGACTGTAATTGCCAGGATCACCTCTAGAGCCCCTTTTAAATATTGGCGTTATGTTATCTGTCTTCCAATCATTAGGTATGGAAGCCGATTTAAAGGATAGGTTACAAACCACAGTTAATAGTTTCTGCAATTTCCCATTTGAGTTCTTTCAGAACTCTTGGGTGAATGCCGTCTGGTCCCAGTGACTTGTTACTGTTAAGTGTATCAATTTGTTCCAAAACCTCCTGTAATGACACCTCAATCTGGGACAGTTCCTCAGATTTGTCACCCAAAAAGAATGGCTCAGGTTTAGGAATCTCTCCCCAGTATTCTCAGTCATGAATACTGAAGCCAAGAATTCATTTGGCTTCTCCGCTATGACTTTATCGTCTTTGAGTGCTCCTTTAGCCTCTTGATCATCCAAGGGCCCCACTGGTTGTTTAGTTAGCTTCCTGCTTCTGATGTACTTAAAAAAACATTTTGCTATTACTTTTTGAGTTTTTGGCTGGCTGTTCTTCAAACTCCTTTTTGGCTTTTCTTACTATAATTTTATACTTAATTTGACAAAGTTTATGGTCCTTTCTATTTTCCTCACTAGGATTTGACTTCCACCTTTTAAAAGATGTCTTTTTATCTCTAACTGCTTCTTTTACCTGGCTGTTAAGCCACGGTGGCACTTTTTTGGTTCTCTTACTGTGTTTTTTAATTTGGGGTATACATTTAAGTTAGGTCTCTATTATGGCATCTTTGAAAAGTTTCCATGCAGTCTGCAGAGATTTTACTTTTGTCACTGTACTTTTTAATTTCTGTTTAACTGACTTCCTCATTTTTGTGTAATTCCCCTTTCTGAAATTAAATGCCAGTGTTGGGCTGCTGATGTGTTTTTCCCACCACAGGGATGTTAAATTTTATTACATTATAGTCGCTATTTCCAAGTGGTCCAGTTATATTTACCTCTTGAACTAGATCCTGTGCTACACGTAGGACTAAATCAAGAATTGCCTCTCCCCTTGTGGGTTCCAGAACCAGCTGCTCCAAGAAGCAGTCATTTAAGGTATCTAGACATTTTATTTCTGAATCAAAAAATGAGGAGTACAGGATCTTTAAAAAAAGAGGGTTTTTTTAAAGAACCGCATCGAGACAGCGATTTCACTTTCGAAATACCTTTTTCAATAGAACACTGTGATGCGATTATGCAAATGAAGTGCGGAATATTTAAATCCCCGCTTCATTTGCACTTTTGATCTGCCTAATTTACATCCCTCTTTCGAAAGAGGGATGTAGTTTAGACATGCCCTCTGATATATTTTGTACCCTGGTATGATTGTGTCCCATTGATTGTCCTCACTCCACCAGGTTTCCGTGATGCCTCTTATATCAGTATCCTCCTCTAATAAGAAGCACTCCAGTTCACCCACTTTACTATTTAGATTTCTAGCATTTGTGTATAAGCACTTTAAACATTTGTCACTATTTACGTCTGCCATTTCCTGATGTGTTAGACTCTTTTTCATTTGGTTGTGTCTCATCTGATCTGACCCAGACTTCCATCCTCTTCCCCTGACTAGAACATAGAGCATCTCTATTAATAGACCCTCTCCTAAGAGATGTCTCTGTCTGATCCACGTGCTCCTCCGCACCCATCGGCTTTCTCCCAGCCCTTAGTTTAAAAACTGCTCTACAACCTTTTTAACGTTAAGTGCCAGCAGCCTGGTTTCATTTTGGTTTAGGTGGAGCCCATCCTTCCTGTAAAAGTTCCCCCTGTCCCAAAAGTTTCCGCAGTTCCTAATAAATCTAAACCCTTCCTCTCTACACCATCATCTCATCCACACATTGAGACTCTGAAGCTCTGCCTGCCTACCTGGTCCTGCGCGTGGAACTGGAAGCATTTCAGAGAATGCCACCATAGAGGTCCTGGATTTCAATCTCTTTTCTAGCAGCCTAAATTTGGCCTCTAGAACCTCTTTCCTACCCTTCCCTATGTCATTGGTACCTTCATGTACCACGACTACCGGCTCCTCCCCAGCACTACACAGAAGTCTATCTAGATGTCTCGAGAGATCCGCAACCTTCGCACCAGGCAGGCAAGTCACCGTACAGTTCTCCCAATCATCACAAACCCAGCTCTCTCTGTTTCCAATGATCGAATCTCCCACTACTAACACCTGCCTTTTCCTAATGACTGGAGTTCCCTCCACCGGAGAGGTATCCTCAGTGAGAGAGGAGACCACGACATCTTCTGGAAGGAGAGTCCCAACTGTGGGATGGTTTCCCTCTGCTCCAGTTGACCGTTTTCTTTCCCTGAGCCTTTCATCCTCCTTAACAGTGCTGGGGCTGTCTGACCGGAGGTGGGACAGTTCTGCACTGTCCCAGAAAGCCTCATGTACTTACCTCTGTGAACATAAGAACGGCCATTCTGGGTCAGACCAAAGGTCCATCCAGCCAGTGTGTAATAAGAAGCACTCCAGTTCACCCACTTTACTATTTAGATTTCTAGCATTTGTGTATAAGCACTTTAAACATTTGTCACTATTTACGTCTGCCATTTCCTGATGTGTTAGACTCTTTTTCATTTGGTTGTGTCTCATCTGATCTGACCCAGACTTCCATCCTCTTCCCCTGACTAGAACATAGAGCATCTCTATTAATAGACCCTCTCCTAAGAGATGTCTCTGTCTGATCCACGTGCTCCTCCGCACCCATCGGCTTTCTCCCAGCCCTTAGTTTAAAAACTGCTCTACAACCTTTTTAACGTTAAGTGCCAGCAGCCTGGTTTCATTTTGGTTTAGGTGGAGCCCATCCTTCCTGTAAAAGTTCCCCCTGTCCCAAAAGTTTCCGCAGTTCCTAATAAATCTAAACCCTTCCTCTCTACACCATCATCTCATCCACACATTGAGACTCTGAAGCTCTGCCTGCCTACCTGGTCCTGCGCGTGGAACTGGAAGCATTTCAGAGAATGCCACCATAGAGGTCCTGGATTTCAATCTCTTTTCTAGCAGCCTAAATTTGGCCTCTAGAACCTCTTTCCTACCCTTCCCTATGTCATTGGTACCTTCATGTACCACGACTACCGGCTCCTCCCCAGCACTACACAGAAGTCTATCTAGATGTCTCGAGAGATCCGCAACCTTCGCACCAGGCAGGCAAGTCACCGTACAGTTCTCCCAATCATCACAAACCCAGCTCTCTCTGTTTCCAATGATCGAATCTCCCACTACTAACACCTGCCTTTTCCTAATGACTGGAGTTCCCTCCACCGGAGAGGTATCCTCAGTGAGAGAGGAGACCACGACATCTTCTGGAAGGAGAGTCCCAACTGTGGGATGGTTTCCCTCTGCTCCAGTTGACCGTTTTCTTTCCCTGAGCCTTTCATCCTCCTTAACAGTGCTGGGGCTGTCTGACCGGAGGTGGGACAGTTCTGCACTGTCCCAGAAAGCCTCATGTACTTACCTCTGTGAACATAAGAACGGCCATTCTGGGTCAGACCAAAGGTCCATCCAGCCAGTGTCCTGTCGGCCGAGAGTGGCCAATGCCAGGGGCCCCAGAGGGAAAGAATAGAAGAGGATATTATCAAGTGATCCATCCCCTTTCCCCACTTCTGACAAATAGAGGTTAGGGACACCATTTCTGTCCACCATTTCTGGCTAATAGCCATTGGTGAACCTATCATCCATGAATGTGTCTAGCTCTTTTTTGAACCCTATTAAAGTCCTGGATTTCCTAAGATCCTCTGGCAAAGAGTTCCACAGGTTGACTGTACGTTGTATGAAGAAATGCTCCCTTTTGTTTGTTTTAAACTGTCTACCTATTAATTTCATTTGGTGACCCTAGTTCTAATGTTATGGGAACAAGCAAATAATTTTTACTTATTTACTTTCTCTACACCAGCTGTGATTTTATAGACTTATATCATATCCCTCTTAGTCGTCTCTTTTCTAAGATGAAAAATCCCAAAGTTTTATTAATCTGTCCTCATATGGCAACTGTTCTAATCATTTTTGTAATCATGTTACCAAGGCTATGGATGGTGGCTTCTAGTTATTCAGCTATTCCCACACAAAAGGGCATTTAATTATTCCTTCCCTGTTACCTGAGTGGAGGGTGCTTAATACACCTATCAGCTTTAACCAGGCCCTTTTCCAGTGCCAGTATTTCTTTTTTGAGATGAGGAGATCACATCTGTACACAGAATTCAAGATGTGGGCGTCCCATGGATTTATATAAGGGCAATAAGATATTCTCCATCTTATTCTCTATCCCTTTTTTAATGATTCTTAACATCCTATTTGCTTTTTTGACTGCCACTGCACACTGCGTAGACGTCTTCAGAGAACTCTCCACGATGACTCCCAAGATCTCTTTCCTGATTAGTTGTAGCTAAATTAGCCCCCATCATATTATATGTCTAGTCGGGGTTATTTTTTCCAGCGTGCATTACTTTACATTTATCCATATTAAATTTCATTTGCCATATTGTTGTCCAATCACTTAGTTTGCTGAGATCTTTTTGAAGTTCTTCACAGTCTGCTTTGGTCTTAACTACCTTGAGCAGTTTAGTATCGTCTGCAGACTTTGCCACCTCACTGTTTACCCCTTTCTCCAGATCATTTATGAATAAGTTGAATAGGATTGGTCCTAGGACTGACCCTTGGGGGACACCACTAATTCCCCCTCTCCATTCTGAAAATTTACCATTTATTCCTACCCTTTGTTTCCTGTCTTTTAACCAGTTCTCAGTCCATGAAAGGATCTTCCCTCTTATCCCATGACAACTTAATTTACGTAAGAGCCTTTGGTGAGGGACCTTGTCAAAGGCTTTCTGGAAATCTAAGTACATTATATCTACTGGATCCCCCTTGTCCACATGTTTGTTAACCCCTTCAAAGAACGCTAATAGATTAGTAAAGCAGGATTTCCCTTTACAGAACCCATGTTGACTTTTGCCCAACAAATTATGTTCTTCTGTGTGTCTGACAATTTTATTCTTTACTATTGTTTCAACTAATTTGCCCGGAACGGACGTTAGATTTACTGGTCTGTAATTGCCGGGAGCGCCTCTAGAGCCCTTTTAAATTCTGTTGTTACCTCTCTTAGCTCCTCCAATTCAGCCACCCTGGCCTCCAAAGCCCTCACCCAGGAGCTCCTTGCACCAAATGCACACGCAGGCCAGATAATCATGCATACCTCCTCACTTGCCTTACTTTCCTACTGTGCTGTGCAAAGACTCCTGCTTCTCAGAGTGCCTGGAGCTGCTGGGCAGTCTGTGCTTCCAGCTGGCAGGAGCTGCATTGCAGCTCCAACCAGTCTGTAATCACCCTCCTTTCCATTCTCTTCCGGAGGGGGGTGTTAAATTGATGAGCTGGTACTGCAGCTCTCCAAGGTTTTCCCGCATCCGGCTTGCTGGCTAGGGGCTCTGTACAGGAGAGGGCAGCCTGGCTCTAACAGCCTGGTGAGGTGGATGAGTTGTGGCTCTGCAGGGAGCAAGCAGCCTGTTTTGTCCTCCTCCACTTTGGATCTGCTGCTGGCCTGAATGCTAAGAAAGCTTCATTGCAGCCTCCCTGCAGAGTGTTCCTGGCTGTGCCTGCCTTGCGTGTGTGCGGCCCTGAGGCCTCGCAGGGAGGCACCAATGAAATCTGCTTCTTGCTGCTCTTGGCTTGTCACTGCCCTGTCTCAAGTGTCCAGATGCTCCCAGCTTGTCCCCTCTGTTTTCAGCCCAGGAGGCCCCATCTGCCAGAGGTGGGACTCGTGCGGTGGCAGTGTACCGCGGCGGCCAAGCGCCTATTCCTGCCGGCATGCCGGTGACGCTGGAGAACCTGGTCGACCGCGGGCAGAGGAGAGCTGGGCCGCCTTGGCCCCTCGCACTTTGTGCCCTACGCGGAGGAGAGGTGAGGGACCGCCTGGCTCCCCGTCTGCCTGGGAGAAGCCGGGTGAGTGAGCGCTGACTCCTTTCTCTTGGGGACAGGCTGGTGTCGCTGAGCCGCTGCTCCTGCTGCGATGCACGTGCTGCGCTGGAGTACGCCGTCTCGGACCCCAGCCCTGGCTTGGAGAACAGATGCCCCCTGAAGTCGTTTGCTGTGGCTCTTGGCCTGTGCCTGCTCACACCCAGTAAGGGGGGGGCTTGGGGCGTGGGCTGGGCTGAGT